ACCTCCCTAACTGCCTCAGCCAGTATCGGAATCTTAGGCATCGAACGAAGTCCAGTTTCGGGGTCACTTGGAGGCTAAGGTCAAATTGGCCTAGAAGAAGCTCGATATGCTGAACAGATCGAGGTAGTATTTTACTCCAGCCCACCGCTTTCAGCTCTATACGCGCAAGTCTGGCTGCATATGGAATACTGTTCTCATCTCTATGCAGGAGCAACTCAGTACAAGCTTCTCCCTCTGGACCGCATCCAACGAATAGCGACTCGAATTGTCGATAGCCCAAATATCTCCGATAAGTACGATCCCTTGGCGTTACGAAGAAATGTGGCTTCACTCTGTATTCTCTATCGCATATATCATGGAGAGCGCTCCGAGGAATTTTTCGGACTAATAACGACCGTTACTTTCCGCCATCGTTCCACATAGCAAATTTTTCATCCCCATCACCTGGATATTTGCGCTCCACTAGTGTGCGCTTTTCGAGACACTTTTTTAAACGCGAGACACTGTTTGCTCTGCATTTACACAAAGAGATGGTTCTTTGCTTTTTCAATAAGAATACAAAAAAACAAGTTGCATTTTTATAGTCAATTTAACATAGCGTCTGTTAAGCCGGCTTTAAATTTCTGGTTTCTGACAGTATTAAATTAAATTAATACAGTATTAAAAAAATAAAATATAAATTTAGTAGCGCAACATCTGCAATGTGACATTTATACAAATGAAATAAAATGAAATGATATTTATTTCTGCAAGTAAATCTTTGCAGATATTTTTACAGCTAGAAGGCACTGCTAGAACTGGTTAAAAGCAGGCGTATTTACATGGTCCTGTATATAACAAAACCGTTTGTATTTTCATTTTGTGATATATAACTCACATGCTCTACTAGATTCTGTACATGCAACTAAATTATGTTATTGATAGCTATAAATTAATAACGAAACATCAACGTTGCTAAATCAAAATGTTTTATGAGAAATATGTTTTTATTTTACTACCAGCCGTCGCTGCTCAGCTCTTAAGAGTATAATAAACAATAATAAATATATAATAATAACTATATAATAATAAAAATAACTGAATAATATAATAAATAATAGTAAACTTTTTATTTCAGACTGAGGTCCATATTTATGTTAGTATTTTAGTGTTAGTAACAATAGTGCCTAAGTTGATAAGTTAGTATTCTTAGTAATAGGTTTTTAATTATATTCTATTTATAATTTGTGTTGACCTATGACTGTCCAAACCCAGTGTTTCTGTAATGGGCAGTCCAGTCTGGCAGCGATCATTTCCCGAATATTATACCGTGAATATATTAAATAACAATAAAACCATCTCACCACTACCACGACCTCTCAGATAACCAGTTTTAAACAATTCTTCTCACCGAGTCTCTTAGGTTTGCGGAACCCAAAACCCCCTTTTCGTCTATTTACTCGAAATCGGCAAAGCACTTTGACTCTTGAGTTGCAGGCATCAGCGATTGTCACTTACCATCAGATAACCCGCCTGCTCGTTTGCCTTCATATATGTATCTTTAAAAAATTACTATAACTTTCTTTAACCTTCTTAATATATATGGAATCACGTACATGGTGCCGTTGGGTATATTTTAGCCATTAGCCATTAGAGAACAGTTTTATTCCGTCGTTAACAAACGTCGTTTCGGTCAAACGTCGGTTACGTCATTGGGTAGACAAAGGCAAGCGAAATTTTTCGCTAAATTATACTCTACCACAAAATATTACTTCAATGTTTAAAAAAAATGTTATTTTCGCTTACTTGATGGTGCTCGTGGTCGACGAGAAAGTGATAGAATATATTTACTTATGAATTTATACATTCATTTATCTATTTAAATTCATTTTCAATACGTGTTACATCTTAACAGTTTAAAGCTCTATAGAGAAGCTTAAAATTGACATGTAATTTCACGTAATAACGTTAGGTAGGTTAGAGTCGCTTCTTTGAATTTCGGCATTCTGTTCTGATAAATATGCTACAATGGCGCAAGATTGCTTTTTTTTGATCAGACGTATTTCAGCAGTGGACTATTAAAGGCTGTTGTTGACGATGATGGTGATCAGCAATTCTCCGTGGTGGTATTAGGTGTCTCTGATATTATTTCTTTTTCTATCTATCTATCCTGTGGAGAATATCAGTACAGGATAGGTTATGTTGCCCAATGATACTGCATGAAATCACGTAAATCACTGGAAACGTGTATGCTTATATAAAAAACGATATCGCTTCTTTATTGTTAAGAACAGAATATAGTATAACGGTGTTATCAACCCAATTCAGTAATCAAATAAAGTGTTATGTTAAAATGTGTATTTACCGCAAAAACAATTCATCTGACTGTGACATATTATGACGATCATAAAAAGACACGATACGCAATAATCCTTGAATATCTTTGCGTGAAAGTAATAGTAGCTAAGTAGGTATACTTATTATAAATAGCACTTAACAAGTTGGTACTTATTAAATTTCCTAAACTAAAAATTACTTGAATTAAATGCACTGTGCAACGGAAGCGTTTTTATCGCCGATAAGCTTGTATGTGTACAAAGGCCTTTAAATATAAAAAAAATGACTTCTGTCGAAATGAAGATTCTATGTTAGGTTACGCGGTCAAAGAGGAGTTGAGACAAGAACGCTAGCACACGGTACGATAGTCGTGTAAAAAATAGTTAGCATAGCTAAGTATAGTTGATACAAGTTGGATACAAGTTAGGGAATGTTTAGTTAGCATTACTAAGTGCTTAAAATTTTTGGTAAATTGAAAAAGCCACTTCTAATATTACTATTTTGGACGAATCTTGTATAGACGAAATTCTCTAACGGAAAGCCTTTTTTCATAGTTTGTTATACATTGTGTTATTAAATAAAACGACGGGTATTTGGAACTGTAACTCTGGAAGTAGTGCCAGCATTGACAACTTTTCGTTGGCCTGACTAACCTTTCGTTGTTTTGAAGAAGGAAAGCTCAGGAAATTACCTAAATATCAAGAAATAATACATAGAACCTGTAAGAGATTCAGTAGTGATAGATTTCAGAATCTTTTATCAATTGGATCTCTTATCTTATCTTTTAAAAATCTGTTTCCTTTTTTGAAGTTTGTCACAAAAAAAAAACAATGCTTGTGTTAAGGACTAGATATAGAATGTAGATCTATTGTAAAAGTATAGCTTTGTTTATTTTATGTAACCTCTTAGTCTTGTGATTTAAGGTTGCTCGAGTAAAAACCATTGTGGTTAGATTATAAAGAAAACATACTAAGATCAACGGGACATTATTGGCGATGCGGTGCCCTTTAAAGATTAGGTGTGTCGTGCCGAGGGTTTACGACAAGATCTATGACCGTGGATATCGTAAAAGTGTTATTAGGGACTTTAATCGCATTTTGTAGGTCTTGCTCACCTGTGCGCGCCGAAAAAAAATAAAACGTGATAATTTGTAAGAAAACCCTCAAATTTTTCACATGTTATACTAGTTTCTGTAACCCTATATTAGTGTATTCACTTTCAGTTTTTAGTACGGTTTTGCATGTGAAGAAAATGTGACTGTACATGAAATGGGACTTTTAAATATAATACTATAATTAAATTTTGATTTTGGAAGATGAAAACGATGAAATAAAATTGATGATAAAGCAAAAAAAGAAAAGAGTATCAGAAAGTATATTAATATGATTTATTTATTCATTAACACTTGCAAGTTACGTTTTTCATACGCTATATTCGAACTAGGCGGAGTCTGTATTGCGACAATCAGCGACAACTCCCCAACATACAAGCAGTAGTCTACTATTAGTACTTAAGCCAGATTATATTAATCATGAAGATTATGCGTGTTTGTGTGTGAACGTGTTTTCTGTGTGTGTGTTTAGGTGCGTGCTTTAGCGCGCGCGCGCGTTTGTGTGTGTGTTTGTAACTATTTTTTATTGAATAATGTGCAAAAGTTGTTCAGTTCCTTCATAGCCGAGTTTATCTTTGAGAATTTAATCTTTGTAGATTGATATTATAATATTGTTGATATAAGTTTCATTAGAAGTTTTATATCATAATATTGTAAATTAGTCCCAGAACTTCAATATTTACCAGACTTAGATTACCTCTTGGGACTTGACTCTTGTTACACTTCAAAAATAAAAGAACACTTGCTTTTAAAATGAAAGATTTCATGCGAGCAACTAGGCATATGATTAAAACTTATTTACAAGACACGTTATAATTGTTGTTGTTTTGGTCATCACTAGTTAGCCAGTTATCGAGAAAATTCATAGACAGAGATATTTTTTTTGAAAAAGTAGATTAATTTGTAAAGATAAATTTTAAAATCATATCTTTGGACTTATTCAAGTACGTGGTTCTGGACAAGCTTATGCGCTAATCAACTCATATATATATATATTTATAACTTTTGCATGGACTGGACATGGTATTTTTTAAGACAGTTGTTGTCTGTTATTTACTATAAATTGAATTATCATTTTGCTTATGCCACAACATCCACTAGGCAGGTTATACGTATGACGGTAGGTGGTTGCTACAGAGACGATAAAAATTCATATCTTCTTCCTGGACCTGTTCCACGAAGGATTATGTATGGTAGAACTTCTGTTCCAATTGGCCGTAGAGGCTAAAGTTATAATTGCTTATTCTTATCCTTCACGGCCAATTGATTTGACGGTTGATAGCTAATGATATTCGTATTAATAGTACGTATTTTTGTCTCGACTACCACAATTAACTCTCAAAATATACCTATCCTATCTTCCTGCACCCCTTATTGTGAAGGAATGGGTGTTTTGTCCCTCCAAAGCAAATGGCGGGTCCTCCGACCGGGCGCGGTTGATGTTGGTATATTGTATAATATACAACATATATTATATACTAATCGTCGCGAGAACTTTCATTTCGCGATGTAGAAAAAACAGTTATGATGTGTGTATGATGATGTATATTAATTTTAGTTTTTATTCGTGCAGTGCTACAACGGAAGAGCTCTATCGACAGTCAACGAGTCACCCAATGGGAACGGCCACTGGGGACGAGCCTGGCGACTTCGCATCAACGAGCCCTCCGACTCAGTCGAGTCCCCTCGTAGTATCTCCAACTCCAGCCTACGCGAAGTTGACGACGAGCTCACCGGAGAAGAGCTGGCCACCTACATGTACCACGTGAATTGTAACATTGGCGGACTTACCTGAGACACGTCTGTGTAATTAACAGTGACAACGCAAAAGCTCCCCGCAGAGCTCAAACTTTCAGTGTCGGTGATCGACGGCCTATTAGAGTGACGTATTTTGTAGCCATTTCTACGTGATCATATTGTACAGGTTATATTGTTGTCCGTTGTTGTTTATAGCTTTGTTGAAATTGCAGAAGTTCATGTGCACTTAGAGGGTCCAGTGAGGTTTTATAGTGCTAATCTGTGTAGCAGAAATATAAAGGAAGAGTGCCGGGAAATTGGCCGTAAAAATTGATGTTCCAGGCGGAGCCACCATAAACTTTACTTATAAATCGATTATAGCTATATGCACATATCTGGATGAAACTATAAATAACAGTCGTAGATTTTGTCAAATTTTACTTTCAATCTTCATTCTAGGATGTGTTTTTAAAATCTGAATCAAATATTTAAGCGTTGACAATATTAATTATACCAATTATATTTATTATTTAATACTATTATTTCTATTATTATCTAAAATATATTCAATATTTTACTATTATTTATATTATTATCCTTAATTTTGGACAAAATAAGTAAATATTCATAAGAGTTAAAACGCCTGTTGCGTAAAGTATGTTATTAAGAAACTCTATCAATGATATTATTTGTGGTGATTGTAAAAGTATGTGCTAAGCACAATATAAATTAAATGTAATATAAAATTTTGTCAGAAGGCTGAATGTTGTTAAATAAAATGTGTGATTTCATTTTCCGCGACATGTACAATAGTATAATGTTATTGCACTAAGTAAGGTAGGTAATTAAATATAAGGGTTAAGCCCGAAATCTGAGGTTTCCTAATCTTTAAAGTCTCATTCTAAGTCCTCCATTAAAAGTTACAAAAGCTGAATTGGGAGAGCCACTCTTCTGCACAAAAGGGCAGGTTCGACAGGAGTAATACCACGGCCTCACAGAAAACGTAGGTATGTTAAGCAATTCTAGCGCTGCTTTTCGAATAAGTGAGGTTACCGGCCCGAACCCAAATGCCTGACTCTAGGGGGAGCGGGTCAAAGGCGGTAATCCAGTTGGCACTGGGCGGGGCTCATTTGCCCCCTTATACTATAAAAACATCACCGAAATGTTTCAAAACTTCGAATCCCGAAATTCGTAGTTACTTTTATCTTGCCGCAATAATTGCATCGAATTTAATTTATTTATTGAATGACTTACGGGATTTATCTTTGTCTGTTTTTCATTGATCGAATTTAAAATGTTTGGGCATAGGACTCTTTTTACATGAAATGTGACTTAGGTCAAGGAGTCTATAAAAAAATCTCAATTTCAATTAGTATAATTTTTTGTGATCAAAATATAGCAATGATGAAATTTATCGCTCCATTTACAATAAATAGTACGTACGAACAAGAATCAACTGAAATAGTAGTACAGATATAATTAAGGTTTCATGTGATTATTTTTTTGCGTAATTTATGACTTGCGTGAGTATCGTTTCCATTTTCATCGTTTTTTTTCTAATATGATGTTGTAAAGTGTCATAGTACACAGCAAGCCTCCGGCTATGCGTATGTAGTTTAGAACACTAAGAAATTTGTCGAGAACTATTTTAAGATATGTGATGTCATTGTTAAATGTAAAATAATATACGATATTACCATTATTTACATGTCGTTTTTTTTTAATTAGGCATTTGGTATGCTTTTATTACTTAATTACCTACTAAATGTATTTTCAATTATCACCAAGTAATATCAAAATGGTTATTTAAATATTAATAAAGAATTACTTGGAAATAATATCAGTGATTAAATAATTGTATTGAGTTTCGAAATAATAGAACTATCACTAAAATTTAATCACCAAACAATGTTAAGAAGTTTATTTAAAAATGTTTTTATTATCGCTGGAAAATTTTAGCACTATCAAAGGCACGTATTCAAATTATCATTTTAATTTTGCAAAATCAGCAAGCAAAAGATATGAACAACCTTCTTGAAATTTATTATTGACTCTCTTCAATTTTAAATCTATTTATTTACCAAACTCGATAACCTCTTTGGGAATTTGTTTTAAAACTTCACATAATTTTCCTTAAATGAAATGCGTGTAATAGAGCCTGTAATAGAACAAAATTGGCATTAATTAATAGGAAGATCGCCACATTTTTGTTATAATTAAAGTTGATCGATCCTGAAAGTAGATGACTCACCGCAGATCGTAATAAATCACAGTACTTGTGGTAAGTATAGTCACTGGAGCTGAGTATTACCTGTATCTGCCACTGCTACATTGTAAGTATTTACAAAGTCAATACTTGCTTATCGGCACAAAAATTACCAAATGTCGTCAAGCTTTGAGGCTCCAAGTAAAGCTTAGCAAAGTTATGTACGGCAGATTTATGGAAGTTCTCTTTTGCCAAATCATATGTAGTGTGTCCGTTGTCAACTGTCACTATTTTTTTCTGCACGTGCACGTTGACGCCTTTGGTTAGGGCTCCAAGGGTCTCCTTTTATTTTAATTTTTTTATGTGTGTCACCCCACCAAGGTTTTTGGTGGTGCGGTGTGTGAGAATCGAACCGACTAAAACCACATGGTGTGCCAATCCGCGCCTGAGATAGGAAGGTTCCAGGAACAGCTGATATTAAGACATCCGGACCCCTCAAAGCGCCGGGCCGCGACAGCGCGGGCACGACCTTATATAGCGGCTGGAGGACGTACCCCGTCCCGTCCACCCGCGGCCATACTCGGGGCGGTATAAGGCACCGATAAGGGCCCCTCCGCCAATTGGGTCCGAGTGGAGGTCATCCCCCCGGGCCCTCTTCGCCGCCTTTGCAGTAGAACCGCGGTAAAACACTGTCACAACCGGCAGCGTATGACGGCCGGAGGCCCTCTCTAATGACTGCAATAAGGAACGACACCCAAGCCAGGTAAATTGCCAGCGTGTGCTGAGCCGAGTCCTTACTGGCTGGAGTGCCTCCACGGTGACAAAGCCTGCACGTGGAGCCTCCAGCCGGGATAACCACCGAGCCATCTTGACTCGGTGAGGGGCCACGGCCACTCGTGTATTTATTGGGGCGGGGGCCGAATGCCGCTACCCGCCCGGAACTCAGCCGTCCGCCGATATACTGCGGCGAGCACTTCCGCCTCCAAATCGCACGGGGGAGCTCCGTTGACAAGGTGCGGTAACCGCGTATGGCTCTAACCGCTAATATCCTTTGTTCCGCTAATATCCGCCAGAGGCGAGCCCTATTCCGGGCGGTTAGAGCCGGTACCTACCGGTGTATAAGAGCCCCTGAAAAAGCCATCTAACAATTTAAGGTGTTGGTCGAGGCTTTTAATCCAATAGCACATATGACAATTGCAAAATGATTAACAAAACGATATACGACATTCGACAATCTTGACAGACAAACCTGAATATATTGCTTTTTAATCTTTTCAAAATTTTCACGAGGTTCTAGTCATGAGGAACAGCAATATAATTGCACGCCATTGTAATGAGATCAGGTTTATTAACTACAATAGGTTCAATGAAGATAGATCAATCTGAATACAATGAAGCTCGAACATTTTTGAGTTTATCACTACTACTATCTTGGAAAATCAAAGCCTCTGAATTTCCAAGATTGTATTTGAAGGCTACTTGTGCATTAACAATCCTTTCTTTTTGCAATTTTAGTTTTAAATATTCTTTCAGATACAAGTCCATGCAAATATTTACTATAGGCAAGACGAGTAAATGTGAAACAATATGCCAGATGGATCTTCCGAGACGTTGGCATACTCGAAAGATGATAGCAACAATACAGTGTACAAATGACTTCGTCCGTAATTGTAAAGATAAGAGTTCTATAAAAAATATTACCAAAACGTATCCAAGATATGAATCCTCTTAATGCATGTCAAAGTAATTTAGAGCTTATTTAATTATTATTAAATTAATGTAAATACATACAAATTAGTTAATAGAGACAAATAACTACAATCATTAATTATTATTACGCACATAAAATAATAAATTACTAAATTTATCTACAACGAAGATATTTATCCAATAAGAGCAATTCGAAGAAACTGATTGTGTCGCGATATCTAATAAAGAAAAAGGTAATAGGTACATTTCCTACCTACTTCTAACTTCTTATGAAACTTTTATGTCTATTTGTAATCTAAAAGTCGTAAAAGATATGACTTATCTATACGTGGGGAAAGACAGGAAAAAATAAATAAAAATAAAGCCCCAACACGTTGGCAAACAACATATTCTTTTCATATTCTTCTTCGTTTTTGGCTAGTATGATACGAGTATAAGTTTACGTGATGCTAAGACTTTTAGGAACATTCTAAAACAAAAACTCACGGTTTGTTCATTGGCAGTCTCCTCTCCAAACGCAGCGATGATATTGCGAGCCGTTTCTGTATTCAAAAATGACTCGGATTTTCGAAGTATCCATTTTTCACGTCTAGACTGAATAAAAAAAAACATTTGAAAGTCGAAAATCGAATGTTGCACATTTTTTTAAAGAAGAAACCTCATAGGTAAATTTCACACCATGAAGGTCTTCTGACAATTCAAAGTATCTATTACTATACAACGGCAATTTCATACTTTAACCCTTATTAGCTAGTGTGTTAGTGTAGAGTAATTAATTATACTATTATTGTGATAAGGCTATCCTACAGGACGGTCGTTGGTCTTCACACGTCCCGTAGGGGACGTGCGGTGGGTGGATCGGGGCATTAGCTCCCTGCCAGCGGTGTCTACCGCTACCCCTAAATAGGGGTAGGTCATAGGGTGCTCTAATCGAGATTTTGGTCTTGTCTGGGTGGGGTTGCTTCGGTCTTCACGCCACCTCGGCGGTCAAGCCCGAACCAGGTGAGACCCCAGGCGATACCTTGGGAGCCCCAGCTCCGAGCTACCAGCGACAGAGGTGGCGACTTACTTGCAACCCCTCTGGTGTCTTGTCCGGGATGTGTAGGGGGGTATTATGCACCGCAACGCGGTCTGCAGGGAGC